TAAATTGTTCTATTCGCATTGATCATTCATTTTGTTTTTAAATAAAATTAAAATCAGCAAGTCAAGTTCACAGACACCATCCTTCAAATCATTTATTTGTCTTAATTATCTCATTTATCTTGTAAATAAAGATTATTAATATATGTAGTTAAAATCATCAAATTTAAGTTCATAAATAAGAACATAAATTCTTGTTATCATACCTTTAAAATTATTCTATTCATATTGACCATTTAATTATATCTGTAACTGTTAGAATTAAATCAGTCAAGTTCACAAAGACCAAGAAATAAATATTTATTTACCATAATATAATGCAAAAGTTCTTTGCATAGCACATCTTAAAAGCTTTTTGCATAACTAAAATAATTTAAAAATTCACTTTTTAAAAAGTACTTCTCTGACACTAATTAAATATCTTATACAACTAGATAAACTAACTTGCCCAAATCATTTCATCATAATTGAAGAAATTTAAATGCTTATTTCCATTATATATATTAGAAAATTTTACTAACAGATACAAATCAGTATATAGCATTTAATCGATATTTAATGTTTGTATTTTAATGATAAAAATCGATAAACCTGATAATACTTGTTATATATTAGAAAATAATAAAGTTCGATTACTAGATGCAAATTAATATAAATAAAGTTATCAATTATCATCGAATTTAGTTAAATGTCAATTTTCAATTACCTGTTTTGAATCGATAAATTTTTTACATAACTAAACTATTATATATCTGATATTAATTTAAATCTAATATACACTTTATATTACTTTAGATATGCACTTTAAATATACACTTTAAATTAGAACATAAAACTGTTCAATAGATATTTATTCATTTTGTTAAATCTTAGGACTATATGCACAGTTTTGTCTATACTCTCCAATGGTATACAAGTGTAGTGCTTGATTAGTTTCAATTTGGAACATTCCTATAACTCACTATTTTCTTTGTACTAGCAGACTAGGGCAAACTCAAGTGGCTCTTTATTTGTTTGATAAAACTTGAGTATTAATAGCACCTTGATAGACAATATTCATATTAGTTATACTACTCTTGAAGTTAGCTGTAAATGAAAAAATATTGTCTAACTTCGAGAGTTATTTTGCTTAATATTGTTATTAACTCATTTTTATTGTTAGATATCTATTATTAAACAGGTTAAAATATAAATAATACATACCAAGCCATACCAACTTATTTTTTCATATTCGTTACCACCACTAACTATAACATTAGAAAATATTGCACTTCTATGAAAGTTTGAAGTAGTATGAATTATATTGGTACTTTTTAAAGAAGCAAAAGAAAAATATCTCTATATAATTATCTTTGTGAAAGGATAAGACTGATTCCTCTTTGAAAAATTCATCAAGACTATTTAAAAGGTTTTGAAAACCTTCGATGTGTAATGGGTCTATATTATCTTTATTTTTTTCAAGGAAATCATTCACTTCCTCTAAATTTAATACTCACAAAAATTTACCAACCTCTTTTGCTTTATGGTACTTCTTTTGAACTTCATTCTTGGTTAACTTTTGCTGCTTAATCTATTAATAATGTTTATTAGATTTACTGTAGTAATATTTATTTATTTTTAAAATAAATATCACTGCAAAAATGACATCGCTGGTTATTAGCAATAAATAACGATTATTTTATAATTATAATATACTTACTGTCTTTATAATTTGTTTAATATAGTCTTTTTTATTTGACATGCGATAAAGATTTTTTACATAATCCTTATAAAGAGTCTTATAAGTCTTCGTAGTCATACTGTTTATTGACCTATATTCTTGAATTGCAGGTACTACATAATAGCACCAACTGTGAAGTTTTGGAAATTGAAGACCACTTGCAGAATAGTTTAAAAATATTTCAACAAATTTTTTGGCCCATTTATTAATGAAGACCTATGAGATAAATTGTTAGTTATCAGGACTATTAAAAAGGTAACCACTTGTTCTATACCTGAAGCTGGTTACAAGAATTGTAAGTAAATGATTCTTCACGAGCAGCAATATACATACGAAGAAATTAGTAATGAACTTTACATAACTGTTCATTACTAATTTCTGGCTTTCAATAATCTGTATAATTAAGTGCAAAAATTATTATTTTCATTAAGTTACGCAATTCATCAGCTATTATGCATGTTATATCTAGTAAGTTTTTTATTATTTTAAACCCGGAATATTGAGAAATTAATGTTAATCGCTGTTTAAAGATTTAAAGCACTCTGCTTTCACAATGGTCTAATAGAAGCTCTTTAGTATAATATAGCATATACTTAAAGAGGCCAAGATCCAATGTGTATATACGATCAGGAACGATAGCTTCATATATATTAAACACGCTAAAAAATTTTATATTTATATTTCTAGTATAATAAGTTCTTGGGATTATACCCATTAATTTAGTTTTATTTAAATCATTCTTTGATACCAAGCATTTTCCACATGGTCGACTCAAGGATGATAGTTAATAAACATTAGCAAACTTATTAGCTTTAGCCATGTTGGCAATAATTATTGAAATTTGGAGAATAAAGGTAATTATGTTTCTATATATGCCAAAATTAAATTCTGGTATTTCTGCAATGAGCTTGAGAATAATCATTATACACTTATGAAATACTTCTCTTTGCAACTTTTAGAAACCTTCAGAGTTTTTTGTTTTAGTATCCTTGGCCTTCAAGATTGGAAGGTATTCGATTAATGCCTTGGATTCTGGTTTATTTCTTTGATGATTAAGGATGTTTTCAAGTGATAAAAACAAGGGATACCCAGAAGATTTCTCCATATAGTCCAGAGTTGTCATATAGGAATAAAGAATAAGTGACAATACATGTTGCCCAAGAAGTAGTGCCGATTCTGAATATTCTGTATTCTACATTATTTCTTATTTCTTTTTTATTTTCATACTTAAGGACTAGTGACTGATTAATACTATCGATTATTAATAAAAATTTTATAGTCTTTATTAATGATTAATAGTAAAACTTATATTCAATGTTTTGAAATGTTGTTATAGGAATTTCCTTAAACATCATATAAGGAATAGTAGAATCATTGAGAAATTCCTTTCTAGCCTTTGTTGATGATGGAAGTGGTAAAGTATTCAAATTGGAAAACTTGTTGAAGAAGCTTATAATAGAATCTCCAGCTGAATTTGACAAGTGATATTTACTAACTATCATTATAAACTTATAATAGACATCATTAGGTTATTCAACATTTTGAGAATAATCTAAGTCATCAAAAGCATTTTTAAATGAAGCCTCTTGGTAGTCTTCAAGATCAGGCACTGTATTCAAATTATAAAAAATATCAAACAATATGTCACCATGGTTTTCAATATCACTTTCATCAAACCTAATTTGAGATACAATGTCTTCTACTAAAAGAGGTGTAGTATCTGTTTAAAGAAGTTCTATTTCCATTGAAGAATATACATGCTCATTAGAACTTTCAGAACAGAGTAGTATTGACATATTTTTGCTTTAAATGAAAAATAATCTCTTTAATGTTTATTACTATATGAAAAAGGGATTAAATCTGATATAGCTAATATATTGCATTTGACACTTGGACATGATGAATTATCAGACGTAACAAATGAGAATTAGCTAATATTATTAGCTAATTTTCATTTGTCACATCTGATGATTCATCACATCCAAGTGTCAAATACAATGTATTAGCTATATTAGATTTAATCTAAAAAATATTAACCATTTACCTTATATTCTGAAGAATCATAATCAAAACTATATTTTGGATAATTCCAAATGTTTTCATCCACTTGTTTATCTGAGAGCTCTGGATTTGTATAGTATTGAATGTTAGAATGCTTTTGCAAATAATGTTGTATTAAAGCTTGAGGCCTTGTAAATAAACAATTGTAATGATTACATGGCCAATTTATTTTAAAAAAAAAATAGATCGAAAGAGTGCGATTAAAATATATCGATTATAAGGATCAAATAAGAAAGATCTGAAGAATATAATGTGAGTATCTTTTTTAAATCGATTTATAAAATAAAATTTATATAAATCAATTTATATAATAAAATCTATATAAATTGATTTATATCATTAAAATTTATATAAATTGAATTTAATCGCTTTAAGTGATTTCGTGTATTGCATGTTTTCGTGAGGCAATAACATGTACAAAAACTAGCATGTATTATGTGTGACATAATGAGTAACATTAAATTATAATTATATTGATGTAATATCAGTTTGATAATAACAAAATTTGTAAATCTTAGCAATAGTCTATAAGTATGATGACAAACCGAAAGAATAAGATAAGTTTTCATTTTTATATTTTATTCTTTAAATAATGGTTACTATTATTAATTGATAATCCACCAGTCACCTGATGCATGATCATAGTATAACGTAATGCACCTTACTATATAAATTACATAAGCAGAAAATGTGAAGATTTTTTGACAATTATTCAAATAAAACTTTTTTTCATACTAAGTTAATCAACAAGGTTGATTAAATCATCCAAATCAGCCTAGTAGTTCGCGAGATATAGCTAAAAAACGATTGGCCGACTATATAAAATCTCTATATAAACAATAGTTTGTTTACATATAGATTTTATATAGTTGGCTAATCGTTTTTTAGCTATATCTCGCGAACCACTGGGCCAATTTGGATTATTTAACCACTATTAGATGCGCCTCAGCGAGCTCTACAACTTTCAATTAATCGACCTTGTTGGTTAACTTAGTACGAAAAAAGTTTTATTTGAATAATTGTCAAAAAATCTTCATATTTCCTGTTTATGTAATTTACAAGTGATTTGCGTTACGTTACACTATGATCATGCATCAGGTGACTGGTGGATCATCAATTAAATTTATTAAATTACATATTTGTGAAATTTTTAAATATACAAATACAAAAATATATAAATACAACAGATTTTCAATAGTTAAAAATAAATATATTAAATACATTAAATACATTTTTGAAATTTTTGGATTAAAATATCAAACAACTCTACTAATTCAAATAACTCAAACTTATCTGCATCTTCTTTCTCTACCTCTATAACAACTACATCTCTCTCACAACCAATTATCTTTAATACAATCACTAACCCTAACAACTTTTCTAAAACTCGTTGTCCTTCTTATACAAACCGTTCTTAATTAGTTACTCATAATCCTCATAACTGCTATTTAACTTGTTCTTTATCTGTTACTCCTTATATATCTCATTCTTAATCATTTACTCATAATTGCTATTTTCCATCGATTACTTATAATAATACTATGATGATTCATCTGATTTATTAAAAAGTATTATAAATATTCATAATATCTTTGCTAAGATAAAAACTCAACATGCATTCTATCAAACCTCAAAACAACCTTCACAATTCTGCCAAACTTCACAATCCCGCCAAACTTCACAATCCTGCCAAACTCAACAATTCCACCAAACTCAACAATCTAACCAACCTCACTAATCTA